CTATCCGGTCTCTCCTCAGCACTCTCCCTGCCCTCATGCTAACACAGACCAGCTCCAGTGTGGGCCAGGCCCCAGGGCCATCATGTCCACTGTGACCCAGCACTCCACAAAGCAGGTGGCATTTTGCCAGCAAAGACACTGAGCCTCAGGGACCAGGTGAGCACTGGAGTGTTGCCACATAAGATGTAAAGCCAGGCCACTACCCACCTGGTCCTCCTGCACCCTCCCACCTCCAAAACTAACCACTGCCCTGCATCTCTGCTCCTCAAAGGAGCCGTCTATAGTCTGTTCCATTCACCTCCTCCCTACCCGCTGAGGACCACTCCCACCAGCACGCCAGCCTGGGGGAAGGAGGCGGAGCTGACCCAGCCAAGGTCACAGTGACCTCTACCTTGCCCAGCCCGAACAGCCCTGGGGGCCCTGATCCCTGATGGGAGATGGGAATTTTCCGATGTGTCCTCGATGCCACACCTGCACCCCCTTCCGGGGCTCTGGCCACTTCTTCCCTCCTCTCCTGATCCTCTCCGTCACCTTGCTGTTTCACAGATCCTTCTAATCTGGGATCCTCAGCCTGGGCCATCAGTAGAAACAGGTCCAGGATAACCAGCTTCCTTTGTGACCCCACTTAGCTTATTCTGTGCTTCTACAGAGGCTATTCTGTGGAACCCATCAGTGCCACTGGCTCAGGAGAGGCCAAGGGCCCTGGACCATGTCATCTGGCCCTGTGACGGCCAGGAAGCATGAACGCCCAAGCCTAGCTTGGCACCTGCTGCCCTCCCTGCCCTGGCTAAGGCTCCGGCCTCCTGCAACATCCTGGGCTTTCTGCAAAGGGGGGCTCCCCACCTGCCCTGCTGCCATGGAGGCCCGGCCAGGGTCCCAGCCCACTGCTCATGCCCTCCTGTAGGGGTGGCCTTCTCACCAAGGAAACCAAACTGCTAAAAAGACAGCCTGCCCCAGCCCCTCCTTGCTGGGACCCGCCCAGCACACAAGTATCCCCGCCTTTGCCTCTGACACCCACAGGGCTTGCCTACACCTCTTCCAGAATCTTGAACATGGGCCCCTGAACAAGACAGCCATTGACTCCAGATGACACACAGCAGGGACACTCCAACACCAGGGAACCTCCCCCCTTCACCTGACCCCTGCTTCTTGTGTTTGGCTGTTAACACCTTCCCCCTCCCCCGACCCAGAAGGCAGCTCCAGGACACAAAGGGCTTTCCTTCTGCCTCTTCACTGCACCTCGTCCCTGGCACCAGAACACTTCACAAGCACTGGGGAACTAGCTGCTTGGTAAGGATTTGTGCAGCCACAACACGTGCAAACCCCAAAGGACATCTCCTGACCACAATTCCCGACAGCCCACTCTCATTTTTTCTCCCAAGCCCCAGGAGGCCCCTGCAGACCCTGGCCACAGGCCACAGGCCACGGCAGCCTGCTGGCCCATCAGAATCATCCTACCTGCAAAAGAGGAGGGACCTTCGCCCAGCCGGAAATGAAACACTCCCTTATACCAGGAGAAACCAGGCCATCCTTCCCTGTACACTCAGCAAACACCTCCCAGTGTGCCGCACCATGCCTGGCCCTGGGGGCCGAAGGCAGGCACCCCAGGTCCCTATTCTCACAGTGCAACTGGCTTCCCCGACGGAGCCCTCAGGAATGGGTGGCCAGGCCACGCCTGAAGAGGACATCCTCTCCCCCTTGCCCTCTGCCAAAAGGGCTGCCCCCTGGGCCTCTCCCCACCGGTCACTCACCTGGGGCGCATCCCTGCCCCGGTCCTGGGTCAGGCTGGTGAGGCAGTTCTCAGGGCCACCAGCCACGTCTCTGCAGCTGCGGTTGCCCGTGACCAGGTGCTCCACGGAGGTCGTTGTTGGGGTGGGAGGGCCCCACTCTAGGGCCTGCAGTCACTGTCTTGGGGAGGCTGCTGTCCCTTCATCTGCAGGAACTGCCTGCTGGCCTGCAGGAAGGCCAGGGGCCCCAAAGGATCACAGAGCCTCAGCACCTCATCACAGCTCTCCCTGCCCAGGTAGGTGCGCACGGACTCCAGGAAGGAGTCGAACTGGTAGTGTGGATGTGGGCGGGGCTGCTGCAGGCTGTGCCTTGGCCACCCTCATGTAGAGCTTGTGCTGGTGCGGGTCTGGGTTGCGTAGCATCCAGGAGCTGCGTGAGGTGCTGAAAGAAAACTCAGCAGCCGCCAAGAAGTACCTGAAGAACCTGCCCTGCATCAGCATGGGACACAGCTCAGCCCCAGGAACCACGTCTGCCCCCGAGGACACACAAGCCTGGTGCCCCAGAAGCAGCAACAGCAGCGGATGGAAAATCCAAAGGGCGCCCGGGGCAGCGCCTGGCCCTTCATCCTAGCTGGAGGGGCTGCCGGGGTTCCGCAGGCTGGGCAGGAAGGCACGGGCCAGGCCTTGGCATGCCAGGATGCAGAGGCAAGGCTAGGGCTAGGTCACAGAGACTCTGAGCCGAGGCAGGAGGAAGAGAGGGCTTCAGATGACCAAGGGGGCAGCAATGACTCCTAATATCCGGGGCCCGGATGCCGGCCTGGGGCTGCCAGCAGCGGCTGAAAGAGAAACCAGAAGAGGGGACTGTGAGCCCCGTGGGGAAGGTGGGATTCGGGCATGCTGGGGGCAGTGCCCACCCCGAGCTTGGGGCCCTGACACAGGCTCTGGCCCTGCTCTCAAGCACCTGCTTTGTGCACCTGTCTGCCATCTGCCAGTGTTGTTCACCTGC